TAGCAGCGTGAACATGAAAGGACCTGCCGCACACCATTCTAATGATAGACATGATAGTCCTGGGGAGAGTGCCGCAAGCACTCATGGGTATGTGTCATCTTGGGAGAATGAGATGTAGCAGGTGCAGTTCGTGATCCTCAGTGCATATGAAATTCATTTTTCATCCGGCCTATTTTTGTGTTTAGTCCATAGAGCATACGCTTGGTGTATATCATTCCTTAGCAGTTCGCTTTGGTGATGCTGAAGACATGTGGACACATGGCTCAACGAGGTTCTCCGACTCTCGAAGGCCAATCGTGTCATCCTTTCGCTTGTGACAGAGGAACCATGGCGATGTCCGCCGGTCAGAGTGCCTTCACACCGGCTGAAGCAGAAAAAAGTTTCCGCCTTATACCATGAAGGCCAGGAAGTGTGGTGCATGGGATGCCATCATGCGCCGCGTACGTGATGTTGAAGATCTGGCCCTGGACGAGGCTTGGTCACCTTCCCTTTCTGGCTCCATGTCGGACGGATCGAAGCGATTGCGTGAGGACAAGGCTCCATCGACCCCTGTGGTATACAGCTCCGGCTATATGACTGCTGACCCGCCAATGCCTTCCGAGAAGGCCTTGATTTAAGTCCATGTCCAAGTGGCGACTTGCCACATGGAGTGTCGTCAATCACTCAGTGGGGAAAGACAGCGCTGTCCTTTGGCAAGTACAAAGGCTCCAAGAGCTATGCCGAGATGTTTGAGGGCACTAGTGAAGATTTGGCCAGCTACCGCAATTACTGTCAGTCCCACTACCAGAGTGGGTCACCGGCCTTGAAGGATTTGGTCGATTACTTCCGTGCCCGTGGAATGCATCATGAGGCCAGCCAGTCTGTCATCCCCGGCAGCACCATTCGACGCGTGTACCAAAAACACTTAATGGGAGTGTCAACGAGCGACTGCGCAGGGACTTTGAGGCCCGAGCGAGTGAAAGGCCGCGTGGGACGCGGCGACCGCGTGGGACGCGGCGCGGGGGCTACCATTATATATATATATAATATAACTGTGTGTGTGGGTCAAAGCTCCTCCTGAGTGACGGAAGTATCAAGACGTATAAAGTAAATAGTATTGAGATAGAGTAAAGATGTATCATGTGAGGATCTTTCGTGAAAACAGTCTTTACTTTCGCGAACAACATAAAGCTCTTGATGACATGGGCCTTATGTCGACCTTTCAATCAACTACCTGCTGCGATCCCAACCGAAGACGGCCCGAAACTATGACGACCTGAAGAAGCTAGGTCCAAGAAATCGACAGAAATCGCTTGAAACGGACGCCTCGCTTCGTGTCGAGACCACAGGTCGTTGAGATGTTGACGCTGCCTGCAAACAGCGCAGCAGAGTCGGTGATCGGGGCATATCGGTTGGACATGGAAAGGAAACGTCCTTGTCAGCAGCAGCAGCAGGAGGAGGAGGAGCGGTAGTAGTAGTAGTAGTAGTAGTAGTAGTAGTAGTAGTAGTAGTACCACGACGACGATTACTACTGCTTCTACTTCTACTTCTTCTACTTCTGCCACAACTACCACCACCACAACAACAACTACTACTACTACCACTACCACTACCACTACCACTCCTACTACGACTACGACGACGACCACCACCACCACCACCACTACTACTTAGTTAAGGCCAAAGGGTCCAGAAATAGTCTAGCCGTGTCTAGCCTGTGCCTCATGTCCTTCTTTGCGCAAGCTGCCCTGAGTATGGTGTGGGTGTGCCTTGGCACTTCCAGGTGCAGTACTGAAATTAGCTCAGCTGAAGTATTTGAGGCAGCAACTTGTGGCTTGACCAGAAACACGATCCCTGCCACTACCTTGGTATCCGCTTCTGGACATACGAGGACAAAGGTTCCGCGGCTCGCGAGGATCCGCCCAGGAAGGATCGGGCGAGATTGGGCAGCTTGCCAGGGCCAACATTAAACAGCTAAAAGAACATCTAAAAATGAAAAAACTGCCGTGTTCTATTTTACAAAGACGACTCCAGTGCTTTATACACAGCTGCAAACTCCACGGTGACAATATGCTCTCAGGAGCTGACAACCACAAGGAGCAAAAGACAAATGGCGCCAGCCACCTCAATCAACATCAAAGGCGTGGAAAGGCCAACAAAAAGTAACTTGAACATGATTGAAAATGGACCACGACTCACTACCCTTCTTTGATCTTAGTTGTACAAAGGCCCGGGCAGAAAGAGCGCGGGAGCAATCTGAATGCGGAGCTTCCACACTTTGACTTGCAGGCCATTGGGTGGGTGAAGCCTGGTTGAGCGGCACTGATTCTGCTGTTTGTCCTTTGTGAACAAGCTGGAAACAATCTTGGGCTTGACCAACAGCGCGTTCGACAATGTCTCAACATGTCTCAACAAAATGTAAGCTACAATGGAATGGCTACCAGTTCTCTTGCTGCGTTCCTGCGTGCTCGCGACCAGTCCAACAGCTCCATCGCCAGATCCCAGCAGAGGAACCTTTGCCTGGATCGGAATGCATGTTGTGCAATGAAAATTGCAAAGAAATGAAATTGCATGGTGTGCATGTTACACACAGAGTTGGTTGACCGCTTGAAATTGCGAAGAAACGCCTCGGCTTCTTCCAGAGCTCGGTCGCTGTGCGTTGGCCTTGCAGATTCCTGGGGATACTGAGATTTGAGACTCGATATGACTCGATAGACCCATCCTCATTTGAGTTTCTATGAACTTCTGGGCCTTGCTTATTACTTATGGCTATTGAGATTATTGAGCGAAGGTTGTGGTCAAGAGGTATTGAACATGGATGGTTCACTGAAAGCTTACCCGCACACCATGTCCATCAAATCACTCGCCTTGATTGCCACAAGCATTTCGAGCACACCAAACACACTCCACAAAGTGCTCATCAATTCGGCTTATGGCGACTCCGGCTCAGCGACTGACCGCCTCCTTGGGAGCTGCCTTTGCCTGGCCAAGCTGCACGACTTCGCCGGGCCTACCCGGTGGACACGGTGGATCGGCCTTTGGGCTGGTCACCTCAGATCAAGTTCCCAATACAAAGGGAGCTGCGTCCACAAACCAAGTTAAAGAAGAGATTCAGCATGCATCTCATAGATCTGCACCTAAATCTTGCTAAGGAGCCAAAGAGGACAGCAAGGCACCAGCCTTTGAAGTTGCTTTGAGTTGTGTCCTTAGTGCACAAACATGTTCTTTAAAAAGATGATTCCAAAAATAAGCAATCCCACTCGGGAACTTTCGGGAATTGGTATTGAGGATAATATAGAGTGATCCAGTGTTCGTTTCCTGTTCCAAGGTCCATGCGCACTGGATACGACAGTTTTTTGGTCCGTGGCCACTTTGGGCCTTCAATGATGTCTTTGGGCTTTCACTTTGATATCTTTGGTTCCTTTTTCCATCAAAAATACAATCCGCAGCACAAAATATACTTGGATCTTGCCTGTTGCCGGTCTCACCACCTGCGATGTTCGCTGAGGTTCTGACGTCTGATGTTCTTCTCATATAGTGTTTTAGTTTTTGAGTTGCTTTGTGGAACCTGTAGTCTTACCATGTCTTACCAAGCAAATAAAACAGTGTCCAATAGATCTGTTGAAACGAGTTACATTCCTGCATTAGAATGACTTTCAACGGACTCCTGCCTTGCATTTTGGGACTCCCACTTGGACTTGGGGAGTTTGACTTAGCTCCCTTGCCTCAGAGGTGAAGAGGTGAGAACGAAGGCTACAATTCTTTTGGCCTTTAACAAGAGCGCTCGCATAAATGTTATGTCGAACTAGATTGTCAACTATATATTGTACTTGTCAACGTCTTCCTAAGCACAAAGAAGTGACAAGCAACAATTGCCAGCATGTGGCAAACACAAGACTGTATAATGCAAGTAAGAGGTGTCAACGTATGCACAAAATCGTTTCTCACATCAACAGCTGATGACTCTGAGCCATAGTGCTCATTAAGGACTGCAACGCACTTCCGGCACTTGACTTCATTGGTGTGCCCCTCGGCAAGCGGTGCTGAAGATTTATGAATTCATTATGCAAGCGAATACATAGAGCAAAGACATGCACAAACACTGCTCCCACTCAGCAAGAGCCACCACAAACTTCCCCTGTTACTGTTTAGTATTGAAGTGGCTCAAAGGGCCCCGGAAAATGGAAGTTGTGGGAATAGCTAGTGGGAAAGAGCCGGAGATGATTGTTTTTGAGCACCAGGCCTCAGAAACTGAGTAGCTGTTTCTAGGGTATGGTTATAGACATATGATGCTATGTCAATGCCAGAACAACAATGCTATATTGTATTGACATCCTAATCCTACCAAGAGTCTAAATATTGGCAAAGACTTCCCAAGGCGTTGGTTTCTCATCGAGGTCCAACCAGATCCATCAACCAAGAAACACCTCGTGACCTCGTGAACGTCCTAAGGAGCAAACATTGACAGTCTTGTTTGCTGGTCATCTGCGATTCCTCAGTGCTTGCAACCAAACACAAAGAACACAACAAAACCAAACAGAAATCCCGAGAAGAAGACTGGGCGCCATCTAAACCTGCACGTCCGGATGTCTCATATGAAACTCCCAGTACCCAGTCCACCCGGCCTGGTGGGCTCAAGTTGGTGAGCTACATCAAGAGGCGAGAATAGCAGGAGAAATGTGAAGACACATGTTGCAGAATATGCCGGGAAAAGAGAAACCCACTGACATCAAGCTCCTATCTGGCTGCAAGCAACGCATCTAGCAGAATATATACCAAATCTGTTGGTTAATGGTGCTGCCCTCAAAATACTCTACACTTAAGTCTTGTGTCTCAAGTTCACCCGCACTTTCGGGTGCGTACTTGCTTCCAGTGTACACTTCTAGTTTTGGATTCAAGAGCCTTGAAGAGAGCTCAGGAGCCATGCTGAGCAAGCCATTTAAAACGGTTGAGCTGTGATAATATTAGCTGTGTTTCTATCATCAACCTTCATGCAGGTTCACTCCCAGCGCGGATGGCACCCAAAGCCATGTCGCAAAAGCTCCAAAGGCAGGGACTGAGAGCATTTCTCCGAAAACCTGACAGAAAGGATTTAGCTGCAAAAACACATCGTCCATCTTCTGTCGCGCCATCCATCCATCTTCTCCATCTGTCCAGAAAACTCACAAGTTATAAGCTTTGATTCCCAAATCTGTCAAGATCCAAACAGCCCCACACTGAATATTTTCTTATACATTATAGTAAATCCACAGATCAATCTTTCGTCCAAAGGAACAAAAAACATATTTTTTGGCCCCCGACACCCAGCCCAGCGGCCCCGACCGAGGCATCCGGAAAGGCCGAGGACGGCCATGGACGACGAGCTCCTCGGGGCCCAAGACCTTCGGGTGTCGCAAACCGAGTCGGTCAAAGGACTTTTTGGTTGATACTATTATGTATATTAATATGTATGTATTCGGATTAGTGTAATGTATACTGTATAATGTGTGTGTACATATCTAACTATATCTAGTTGTAAATGCAGCATATGTTGTGTTCCAAAAAAAGTCTTAAAGCCAATTGTCGGTGTTGTTTTCTTTGGGGGGAAGTATTCGGAAGTTCCTTTATGTGCTCTTTTTCTGCGAGGCTCTCACACAGCCGCTTTAAGATTCTCATAATATAGTTTCTTATATATTATGTAGGAGCAAGGACGCTACTGGGGCTCCTGACCGTACTAGGAGCAAGGACGCTACTAGGGGCTCTTGGCCGTACTACTAGGAGCAAGGACGCTACTGGGGCTCCTGGCCGTATTACTAGGAGCAAGGACGCTACTAGGGGCTCCTGGCCGTACTACTAGGAGCAAGGACGCTACTAGGGGCTCCTGGCCGTAATACTAGGAGCAAGGACGCTACTAGGACGCTACTAGGGGCTCCTGGCCGCAATACTAGGAGCAAGGACGCTACTAGGGGCTCCTGGCCGTAGTAATAGGAGCAAGGACGCTACTGGGCTCCTGGCCATATTACTAGGAGCAAGGACGCTACTGGGGCTCCTGGCCATAGAACGCTACTGGCTCCTGGCCGTACTACTAGGAGCAAGGACGCTACTGGGGGCTCCTGGCTAGTAGGAGCAAGGACGCACTAGGGGCTCCTGGCTACTAGGAGCAAGGACGCTACTGGGGGCTCCTGGC